GGCTGGGTCTTATACCTTTGGACACACGAGTGAAGGCAGTGTATGTGAAGCAGCGGTACCTGAGGGCGGGAGGGGAAGGGGTATAAGGGTGGGAGAGGTTATGGAGGATGTGAGGAAATGGTGGAAGGGGAAGGTGTTATTGGTGTGTGAAGATATGGTGCGTAATTTGTTGACAATATGGGATGCAAGAAAAGTAAAGGTCAGTAAGCTGGGGAGAACAGATAGGCAGGGTGGGGTGCTACAAGGTGTAGCTACATATCCGATGTACGATTGGAGGGGCATTTGGGAAGATATAGGTTTTTTATGGGAATTCTAGCTTCAAGGTTGGTGCTATATAGAATGGGGTATGTGGGGAGGAGGAGACTGCGTTTCATGCTGTATATTTTTTCGAATATTTGGGGATTGTAAGGGAATGGTTAGCGAGGGTCCTGGGTATAGTGGGGGGGGGAGGGGGTAGAAGCATTTCGACTTTGAGAGCTTTGCTTTTTGATGTGGGCGGGGTTTCCAAGGACATTCGGAGGGCAGTGAGTAATGTGGTGGCAGATTTTTTGTATGTGTCTTGGGTATGAGGGAGGTGGGGGGTGAGTGTCGGGTGCGGGCGCTTGCGGTGAGTGTGTATCAAACGATTTTCAGGAATAGGCTATTACATGGGAGGTTGTGGTAAATAGTTTTCCTTTGGTTATCGTAATCTGACGGTAGGTGAAATGTTAAGGTTGGGTGAAGGTTAGAGCTGGAATGGGTTGTTTTCCCCGTGGAGAGTTAATGTGGAAGTGTGTGTGGTAGTGGTGTATGTGTGTGTACAGTCTTCAAGTATGAGGGGGGCATAGGGGGGGGGTGAACTGAAGACATAACGGCTGATAGTCAGGGGTTTTGACTTAATGACTTTAGGTAAGATATGAGTATGAACAGGGAGAGTGAGGTTGGTATAGTGTCAGGGGATGGCAGGGGAGGGGGGGTGGGGCTTTCTGAGGTGTCTTGGACCTGGATGTTGGTTTTTTATGATGTGGACGAATCTGGTTAATATATTTGACTACAGGAATTTGTTATAAACAATTTGATTTTGGCGATATTGGTGTTAGAAAATAAACTTTTACATGTTTATATCATGTATTTGCTGTTCAATTTGCTTTATGTAGTTTTTTTTTATGTTTTCATATGCCTATGTATTTTTTTTTACTTACTTTTGGAAAGCTTCATGTATGTGGTAGGCTTAACATATTATATTGTGCACTCTTGTAGTCTGAAATCAGGTTTGGTTTTTCTCAGGTAGGGGGGGGGGGGGGTCTGCCTGGGGTAGGAGGGCGATGAATTTTGAAGGTAGTGACGGTATCACACATATTATGCTCTTTTGAGCTGGTACCATATGATGTCAAGTCATGGTAATGAATATCAGGTTTCACTTTGGTTTTTAGTTGTACAAGAATATGTATCTAATTTCTCCCCGAGTTGGTTTTTTGTTTGTGTTTTTCTTTAGACTTTTTTGCTACAATTTTCATGAGAAATTTTTTTTTTGTCTGCTTACGTGCAGAGTTAAAATGTGCAGTGTGTTAAATTTTGTGTTTTGATTTACTTTGGAATAGGTGTTTGGGACGTTAATAAGCTTGCTAAGTAGGTCAAGAGTACGATAGTATGGGCTGATTATTGCATATATGTAGGTCTAAGATTTAGCTGCAAGTACTTCCTGTTATTGTTTTATTCAGTGCCAGATGAAGGATTGTTATACACTTTATGTCCATGATTTGCACATTTTTGCAATGATGTACTATTGTGTTTCAAATAGGAAGATAAGGATTTTATGTCCTGTAACTAGACAGTTTTGATACCTTATGTTAGGATTTTGTTAGTTGTACGAGTTGTACTTGCATATATAATGTTATGTCTTATACTTGCGGGTGTTTCCTGCCCATTTTTAATGTGGGTATTTTCATTGTGATATGTACCAATGTAATGTTTATTGTAGGCTTTGGTCTGCCTAATGTTTAAGTTAATGTTCTGTATAATTTTAATTTTTGTATGTTGTATGATATTTACTGTGCACTTTGTGCAAGGTGTCTAACTGTACAGAGTTGTGGGGGATTGTGTGTGTGCACAGACATAAATTGTGAGTTTTTGTTTTTGCTGATGTTATTGTTCGGTGCTGGAGCTGTCTCGCTCTTTATTCTGTTAAGAGTTTCCTGCTATTTGCGGGAAGTATTATTGTGGTATGTCTTTCCAGTTTTATTGTAGGTTTAGGTTTGTCTTTTATTTAATTATTGTAATGTATAATTTTATCCTTCGTATGCTACATCATATCATCTGTGCAAGAGGGTCTTACTGTACTATATAACAGGCAGGAATTGTAGGTTTAGACTTTGTTAATGTATTTTCTGAGCAGGTGTTATCCTGTTTTTTTCATTGTTGGGTGATGGTATATCCTTTAATACAATATGAATGTAACACTTAGTGTATGTTATGAGGTTGATGGCAGCTCCTTGTATTTGTAAATGATTAATTATTGTGTTCTTTTATATATATCTTGTACTGTGTCCTTTTAAATAAAAAAAAAAAAGTAAGTAGGGGGATAGTGGTGGTAGTAGTAAGTAGGGAGAGTAGTGGTGGTAGTAGTAGTAAGTAGGGAGAGTAGTGGTGGTAGTAGTAGTAAGTAGGGAGAGTAGTGGTGGTAGTAGTAGTAGTAAGTAGGGAGAGTAGTGGTGGTAGTAGTAGTAAGTAGGGAGAGTAGTGGTGGTAGTAGTAGTAAGTAGGGAGAGTAGTGGTGGTAGTAGTAGTAAGTAGGGAGAGTAGTGGTGGTAGTAGTAGTAGTAAGTAGGGAGAGTAGTGGTAGGTAATAACAGCAGTAGTAGTGGTAGTAAGTAGGGGGAGTAGTGGTAGGCAATAACAGCAGTAGTAGTGGCAGTAGTAAGTAGGGGGAGTAGTGGTAGGTAATTACAGTAGTAGTAGTAGCAATGGAATAGTAGTAGTATTAGTAGAAGTGGAGTAAGTCTAAGGACAAGAAAAAGGAGCACTGCAGGAGAGCTACTGGTCCTCCATGGCGGGGACAGAAACACGGGGGTGGGGGGGGGAGACTGAAGAAGAGAACACACCTTGGCGGAACAAAGGTAAGGAGATAAGAAAAGATCAGGTCAAACCTCGAGTGTTCTGAAGTTTCGAGCATTTGACAATGTAATGAGAAGGGAAGGCGTCTACAGTGATAAAGCCAGGACTGAAGGGACGGCGTCTACAGTGATAAAGCCAGGACTGAAGGGACGGCGTCTACAGTGATAAAGCCACGACTGAAGGGACGGCGTCTACAGTGATAAAGCCACGACTGAAGGGAAGGCGTCTACAGTGATAAAGCCACGACTGAAGGGAAGGCGTCTACAGTGATAAAGCCACGACTGAAGGGAAGGCGTCTACAGTGATAAAGCCACGACTGAAGGGACGGCGTCTACAGTGATAAAGCCACGACTGAAGGGACGGCGTCTACAGTGATAAAGCCACGACTGAAGGGACGGCGTCTACAGTGATAAAGCCACGACTGAAGGGACGGCGTCTACAGTGATAAAGCCACGACTGAAGGGACGGCGTCTACAGTGATAAAGCCACGACTGAAGGGACGGCGTCTACAGTGATAAAGCCACGACTGAAGGGACGGCGTCTACAGTGATAAAGCCACGACTGAAGGGACGGCGTCTACAGTGATAAAGCCACGACTGAAGGGACGGCGTCTACAGTGATAAAGCCAGGACTGAAGGGACGGCGTCTACAGTGATAAAGCCACGACTGAAGGGACGGCGTCTACAGTGATAAAGCCACGACTGAAGGACGGCGTCTACAGTGATAAAGCCACGACTGAAGTGACGGCGTCTACAGTGATAAAGCCAGGACTGAAGGGACGGCGTCTACAGTGATAAAGCCACGACTGAAGGGACGGCGTCTACAGTGATAAAGCCACGACTGAAGGGACGGCGTCTACAGTGATAAAGCCAGGACTGAAGGGACGGCGTCTACAGTGATAAAGCCACGACTGAAGGGACGGCGTCTACAGTGATAAAGCCAGGACTGAAGGGACGGCGTCTACAGTGATAAAGCCAGGACTGAAGGGACGGCGTCTACAGTGATAAAGCCACGACTGTAATTCAAATCAGGAAAGTTGTGTGTATGCGATGGTTTAAGAAGACGGTGACTGAAGGTTAGAAGAAGAGTTTACCCGAGTAGACAGTTTACCAGAGACCCCGAGTAGACAGTTTACCAGAGACCCCGAGTAGACAGTTTACCAGAGACCCCGAGTAGACAGTTTACCAGAGACCCCGAGTAGACAGTTTACCAGAGACCCCGAGTAGACAGTTTACCAGAGACCCCGAGTAGACAGTTTACCAGAGACCCGAGTAGACAGTTTACCAGAGACCCGAGTAGACAGTTTACCAGAGACCCGAGTAGACAGTTTACCAGAGGGCCAGTTAATACAATGACTGTATTTGTTCCAGTCATAGTATTGTGACTTTCTTCTTTATGGAGATAAATTCAGGAATTTAATAATTTATTTTTCTTCAGTTTGTAAGCCTCATGATTGTGACTAATTAATTATGAGAAATTTAACCTTCCTGTAATATTTATTATCCATTGTGCAATAAGCAAAACCTTATATATTGAAAATAGTCACACTAATTTAAAAAAAATACAGGAAAAGAATCTGTATCAGGAAAAAGTTTGGTATCGTCCACTTACTAGACTAAAAAATAATGCTTCAACCTTCTCTTTCTGTCTTCATCAAATTTATATAATTTTTCTACTTTTGTTGACTCTGGATTATTATGTTTTAATTGTCGCGTAAATTTAAACTCTTGGTTAATGGAGTAGCAGAGTAATTAATGCTAAGCCAGATACAGTTACTTTTTATTGCATTAGCTAGTGTTAACAGCGTCGCTATTATTGTGTTAAGTGAATTATTTTATTCAAATGTCTTTGATATTTGTATATAAAAGTCAAATTAATTCAACAAAATCTGAACAATTGTAAATTACCTTCAGAAATACAGAAGACGCAATCCTCTTCTTCCTTAACTAACATGTAGAGTGTCTCAGCGGCTGTCAGTTGTACCTTCCCAGGGATGACTGTGTCAAGGTATCGTCTGCTCATCCACTATATACTCTGTCTCACAGTTGCCAGTTCTACCTTACAAGGATGACTGTAAGACTGGGTGGTTAACCGGGCTTGAAGTCTATCGATTACACAAAGGGTCATTAATACAGCATTTGACTTGTTCACCACCGGTCAAGAATATTTTATAAGCTACAATGGAGGGGGGTCAAGTTAACTCACAGCTTATGAACAATGAGAGATATACACCTGTGTATGTAACTGTAAGAAGTTGATTATCTGGTTTAAACCATACCGACTACACTATGGGCCACATGGGTACTATGGTCCTATAGGCCATATGGGTACTATGGATCTATGGGCCATATGGGTACTATGGACCTATAGGCCATATGGGTACTATGGATCTATGGGCCATATGGGTACTATGGATCTATGGGCCATATGGGTACTATGGATCTATGGGCCATATGGGTACTATGGACCTATAGGCCATATGGGTACTATGGATCAAATGGGCCATTTTGGGTACTATGGACCTGTGGGCCAAAAGGGTACCATGGACCTATGGGCCATATGGGTACTATGGACCTATGGGCCATATGGGTACTATGGACCTATGGGCCATATGGGTACCATGGACCTATGGGCCATATGGGTACTATGGACCTATAGGCCATATGGGTACTATGGATCTATGGGCCATATGGGTACTATGGATCTATGGGCCATATGGGTACTATGGACCTATGGGCCATATGGGTACCATGGACCTATGGGCCATATGGGTACTATGGATCTATGGGCCATATGGGTACTATGGACCTATGGGCCATATGGGTACCATGGACCTATGGGCCATATGGGTACTATGGATCTATGGGCCATATGGGTACTATGGACCTATGGGCCATATGGGTACTATGGACCATTGGGCCATATGGGTACCATGGACCTATGGCCATATGGGTACTATGACCTATGGCCATATGGGTCCATGGACCTATGGGCCATATGGGTCCCATGGACCTATGGGCCATATGGGTACCATGGACCTATGGGCCATATGGGTACTATGGGTCTAGTTGCACCTCTCCACATGTAGGAAGCTGTTGCTACCGCTGACTCATACCAAAAGGTATATTCATCAGAATGTTAGCATGATACTCGTGAAGATCGAATCTCAAAGCACAAATGAGGGGGACAACCGGTAATCGGACCGTGGTGGCTGCGAGTAGCTGACCCGCTATACCAGCACTGCACACAGTCTGATATGGTTGCAGACCCAACACTGCACCACTACTGCACGTGAGTGGTGCAGGACCACAACACTGACCATCTGTCAGGAGTGACTTGCAGACCCAAGGCCAATGCACCAGTCTGTCATGAGTGATGAGACCAGACTGCACCAGTATGGTCATGAGTGATCAGACCCAGCACTGCCAGTCTGTCAGGACATGTGCGACCCAGCACTGCACCAGTCTGGTCATGAGTGATGCAGCCATGCACTGCACCAGTCTGTCAGGAGTGATGCAGACCCAGCATGCACCATGTCCAGTAGTGGTGCAACCCGCACTGCACCATCTGTCAGGAGTGATGGCAGCCCACACTGCACCATCTGTCCATGATGAGTGTAGACCCTAGCCTGCACTCAGTCGTCAGAGTGGGCCAGACCCAGGGTACTGCACCAGTCCTGTAGGAGTGATGCAGACCCATGCACTACTACCATGGCCTGTAGGAGTATGCAGACAACACTGCACAGTCTGTCAGGAGTGATGGCATGACCAGGCACTGGCCCAGGTCTGTCAGGAAGTGGGTGCAGACCCAACTGCCAATGTCAGTATGATGCAGACCCAGCCAATGCACCAGTCTGTCTTGAGGATTGCAGACCCAGACTGGCACCATCTGTCAGAGTGGTGCAGACCTAGCACTATGGTACCAGGTCTGGCAGGGTGATGCAGCCCACCTCCCATCTGTCAGGAGTGTGCTGACCAGCTACTGCACAGTTTTGCAAGAGTGATGAAAACTCGAAGCTGCACCAGTCTCAGAAGTGGACAGAACCAGAATGCACCAGGTCTGTCGAGAGTGATGCCAGACCCAGCACTGCACCAGTCTGTCATGATGGATGCAGACCCAAGCACTGCACCATCTGTCAGGAGTGGTGCAGACCCAGCACTGCACCAGTCTGTCAGGAGTGATGCAGACCCAGCACTGCACCAGTCTGTCAGGAGTGATGCAGACCAGCACTGCACCAGTCTGTCAGGAGTGATGCAGACCCAGCACTGCACCAGTCTGTCAGGAGTGGTGCAGACCCAGCACTGCACCAGTCTGTCAGGAGTGATGCAGACCAGCACTGCACCAGTCTGTCAGGAGTGATGCAGACCAGCACTGCACCAGTCTGTCAGGAGTGATGCAGACCCAGCACTGCACCAGTCTGTCAGGAGTGATGCAGACCCAGCACTGCACCAGTCTGTCATGAGTGATGCAGACCCAGCACTGCACCAGTCTGTCAGGAGTGGTGCAGACCCAGCACTGCACCAGTCTGTCATGAGTGATGCAGACCTAACACTGCACCAATCTGCCGTGAGTGGTGCAGACCCAACACTGCACCAGTCTGTCATGAGTGATGCAGACCCACACTGCACCAGTCTGTCAGGAGTGATGCAGACCCAACACTGCACCAGTCTGTCAGGAGTGATGCAGACCCAACACTGCACCACTCTGTCAGGAGTGATGCAGACCCAGCACTGCACCAGTCTGTCATGAGTGGTGCAGACCCAACACTGCACCAGTCTGTCAGGAGTGATGCAGACCCAACACTACACCAGTCTGTCAGGAGTTGATGCAGACCAGCACTGCACCAGTTGTCATGGGGTGGTGCAGACCCAGCACTGCACCAGTCTGTCATGAGTGGTGCAGACCCAACACTGCACCAGTCTGTCAGGAGTGGTGCAGACCCAGCACTGCACCAGTCTGTCAGGAGTGATGCAGACCCAGCACTGCACCAGTCTGTCATGAGTGGTGCAGACCCAACACTGCACCAGTCTGTCATGAGTGATGCAGACCCAACACTGCACCAGTCTGTCATGAGTGATCAGACCAGCACTGCACCACTCTGTCATGAGTGATCCAGACTCAGCACTGCACCACTCTGTCAGGAGTGATCAGCCCGCAGCACTGCACCAGTCTGTCAGTGAGTGCTGCAGACCCAACACTGCACCACTCTGTCATGAGTGATCCAGACTCAGCACTGCACCACTCTGTCATGAGTGCTGCAGACCCAACACTGCACCACTCTGTCATGAGTGATCCAGACCCAGCACTGCACCACTCTGTCATGAGTGATCCAGACTCAGCACTGCACCACTCTGTCATGAGTGGTGCAGACCCAGCACTGCACCATTCTGTCATGAGTGATGCAGACTCAGCACTGCACCACTCTGTCATGAGTGCTGCAGACCCAACACTGCACCACTCTGTCATGAGTGATCCAGACCCAGCACTGCACCACTCTGTCATGAGTGATACAGACCCAACACTGCACCACTCTGTCATGAGTGGTGCAGACCCAGCACTGCACCACTCTGCCATGAGTGATACAGACCCAACACTGCACCACTCTGCCATGAGTGATGCAGACCCAGCACTGCACCAGTCTGTCATGAGTGATCCAGACCGCACTGCACCACTCTGTCAGGAGTGATGCAGACCCAGCACTGCACCAGTCTATCATGAGTGGTGCAGACCCAGCACTGCACCATCTGTCATGAGTGATGCAGACCCAGCACTGCACCACTCTGTCATGAGTGGTGCAGACCCAGCACTGCACCACTCTGTCATGAGTGGTGCAGACCCAGCACTGCACCACTCTGTCATGAGTGGTGCAGACCCAGCACTGCACCACTCTGCCATGAGTGATGCAGACCCAGCACTGCACCACTCTGTCATGAGTGATGCAGACCCAGCACTGCACCACTCTGTCATGAGTGATTCAGACCCAGCACTGCACCACTCTGTCATGAGTGATGCAGACCCAGCACTGCACCACTCTGTCATGAGTGATTCAGACCCAGCACTGCACCACTCTGTCATGAGTGATTCAGACCAGCACTGCACCACTCTGTCATGAGTGATGCAGAACCCAGCACTGCACCACTCTGTCATGAGTGATGCAGACCCAGCACTGCACCACTCTGTCATGAGTGATCAGACCAGCACTGCACCACTCTGTCATGAGTGATTCAGACCCAGCACTGCACCACTCTGTCATGAGTGATGCAGACCCAGCACTGCACTACTCTGCCTTTAGTGTACAGACCCAAGCACTACACCACGCTTTAGGTGGTACAAACCCAGCACTGCACCACTGCCTTTAGGGTACAGACCCAGCACTGCACCACTCTGCCTTAGTGGTACAGACCCAGCACTGCACCACTCTGCCTTAGTGTACAGACCCAACACTGCACCACTCTGCCATGAGTGGTGCAGACCCAGCACTGCACCACTCTGCCATGAGTGATGCAGACCCACACTGCACCATCTGTCATGGGGAAATGCAGACCCAGCACTGCACACTCGCCTTTAGTGGTATAGACCCACACTGCACCACTCTGTCCATGAGTGATGCAGAACCCAGCACTGCGCCACTCTGCCATGAGTGGTGCAGACCCAACACTGCACCAGTCTGTCATGAGTGATGCAGACCCAGCACTGCACTACTCTGCCTTTAGTGGTATAGACCCAACACTGCACCACTCTGCCATGAGTGGTGCAGACCCAGCACTGCACCACTCTGCCATGAGTGATGCAGACCCAGCACTGCACCACTCTGTCATGAGTGATGCAGACCCAGCACTGCACCACTCTGTCATGAGTGATTCAGACCCAGCACTGCACCACTCTGTCATGAGTGATTCAGACCCAGCACTGCACCACTCTGTCATGAGTGATGCAGACCCAGCACTGCACCACTCTGTCATGATCGAGTGACATGCAAAAGGCGACCCAGCA